TTATCGTGGTGGCCCGGAGGTTTAAGACGTTTGAAACCTACCAACGGCAAGTACCAATGTGACTTTTTCCGAGTTATATGTACTTTCTAAGATTATTTAGACACCACTGACAAACGGTGAAGGAAAACATCGTGAGGAAACCTGGGCTTATAATTTCTAATTATAAGTTTGAAATCGCCAACCCGCATTGAGCAAGCGTGGTGATTAATGCTCAAACCTTCTCCGTGTGAGAAGAGACTTTGCTTAACAATGGGCATTTATAGGCTGTTGATGTTGAATAAACTAATAAATCAAAGGACTGCCTCGTTGGCCGAGTGGTCGCAAGTGCGACGCCGGGCAAGGGGTCTCGGGTTCGATTCCTGGGTCTGGCAAAGTAATACTGGGTTTTTAAAAATTCTCAGTAGTAGCACGGTGTCTGGAATTGTGCCCGGTATATGGCAATAGGCTCACCCCCTATTACATGGGACTCATAACATAAATAGTGAAAAGTGGGTGTTACATTGTACAATGGCATAATGTGCACCTCTGCCTACCCCTTAGGGATAAAAGGCGTGATGTTATATTATGCTGTGTTTGTGTAAAATTGCAGGCCAAACAAGAAGAATTATCAGAGATGACAATACGTCGTGAGCTAGGCGAGAGGAAACTATCCACCGCCGCTAGAGACGCAGAGCTCAGAGCCGAACAACTACAGCGCAGGTTGGAGGACGCTCACAACCAGCTGAAGAGGTCAGTCGGTCAGTCATACCCAGGGGCTTATAGATCCGCGGAAGACTTAACGGGTTGCCGGGGCTCCGGCTCGAAGTGCAGGAGTAGGAACGGGGTGGTTTTTTACTCAGTAAAGAAAGAAAAAACTTGATTTCACGCGAAAAAACGACGTGAAGCCGCGCTTATTTTGTGTTTCGTCGTGTGAATGAAATTACCGGATGCCCAATTACCCTCCCCTTCCCCAATCTCCCCAATTCCTGAATCCCCAACGATCCTCAAACTCCTATTCCCCAAAAGGCCGGTAAGACACTTGTAACGCCTCTGGTGTTCCAGGTGTCCATGGGCGACGCCGATTGCTTACCATCAGGTAAGCTAGGGGTTATGACGTAAAAAAACAAGTAGAATGTACAAATAAGTCATTGTATTAGTAGGTACTGATGGATACATGTTCATGTTCCAAGTCTGCGGTGAAATGGGACCAGTTCAGCATGAGCAAGACAGGGCCTGGCGCTGGTATCCTACTCGTGACAATAAGTGACTGGACTTAACAGTTTAGATGAAATTAATTAATTAAACGATCACAAAATAAATGAAGAGATAAAATAAAAAATAATAATAAAGCAGTAAGAGTCTGACACTCCCTCCCGCCTCATCCGGGCGGGAGAAGTCATTCGATGATTTTCCACATAAAAAAAGGGGGTTTAGCGAGTACAAACTTTCCACCAATACGTGGAATTTTTAGCAGCTTTTATATACCTGAGAATTATGGGCGGATAAAATGATGATATGGCTATCTACCCCCCCTTTTTTTCGGAGCCTTGGAGAACCTAACGGGTTACCGGGGCTCCGGCTCGACGTGCAGGAGAAGGAACGGGGTGGTTTTTAGTCAGTAAGAGTCTGACACTCCCTCCCGCCTCACCCAGGCGGGAGCAGTCATTCGATGATTTTCCCCCCTTAAAAAAAAA